GAGTTAGCTGCAGTTATATTTGCACTAAAAATTTGGTGGCACTATCTTAATGGCATTTATTGTGAAGTCTTTATTGCTCATAAGAGCCTAAAGTATATTTCACTTAAAAGGAGTTGAACTTGAGGCAAAGACAATGGCTTGAGTTCATGAACTGTGACTTGGAGATTCAGTACCACCTTAGTAATAAGGCGAATGTGATCACGTATGCTTTAAGAAAAAATCTTTAACTTGTGCAATTTTAATGTTCACTCAGGAGCACTAGTTAGCATGGGAGATGTCAGTACCACCTTAGTAATAAGGCGAATGTGATCACATATGCTTTAAGAAAAAATCTTTAACTTGTGCAACTTTAATGTTCACTCAGGAGCACTAGTTAGCATGGTAGATAGAGCGATTTCAGGTTGAGATTGTACCGATAAGAGCTAATTCTATCATGTGTCAATTGTCAGTTTAGCCTACACTTGTGGATCACGTTTGTTCAACTCACATGATGGATGCAATCTTACTATCGCTTTGAGAGAAAGCTCATAATGGACAGAAACTCGAGTTTAAAATTGATCAAAAATGAAACTTTGAGATTTTATGATCAAATGTGTATTCTAGATCAGAAAGGACTTCGACAAGAAATACTCCGTGAGGCACAATCTACTACATATTCAGCTCACCTAGAAGTATTAAGATCTATCATGACCTTATGAAGCTATTTTAGTGATTGGGTATGAAAATTGTTGTAGCTGAGTTTGTAACTAAATGTTTGACTTGTCGGATGGTTAAGCCTGAAAATCAGATACCTGATGCTTTATTGCAGTCCCTTCTCATTCCAAAGTGGAAATGAGAAGAGATTTCCATGGAATTCGTGGTTGGCTTACTAATATCGAAGCAAGGACATGATGTTATTTGGGTTGTGGTTGATAAACTAATCAAGTTATCTCATTTTCTACCAATCAAACATACCTGCTTGTGAATAAATTAGCCAAAGTCTATATAGATAACATCGTTTGATTGTATGGAATTCTAACCGTCATTGTATTAGATTGTGATGGAAGATTTACTTCCAGGCTATGGAAGCAAGTGCAAAAAGTTATGAGCACGAGATCGAATTTGAATACTGCTTTTCATCCTCAGACAGATGGACAGTTAGAGCACACTATTTATACCTTAGAAGACTTAATAAGAGCTTGCATTTGGACTTCAGAGATAGTTAGGGGGGCTATGTTCCGTTGGTAGAGTTTTCTTGTAATAATAACTTTGATGCTAGCATCGACATGACACCATACAAATCATTTTATGGCAGAAAGTATAGATCTCCTTGTTTTGGTTCGAGGGCGGTGAGAGGCAGGTATTTGAACCTCAACTAGTGGATCAAGCTACCAAAAGGGTTTGTTAGATTCGAGATTGACTATGTGCAGCCCAGGATCGTTAGAAACAATACTTTAACCCAAAGCACAAAGAGATTAAATTGAATATTGGAGATCACGTTTTTCTGAAGTTTTCACCTATATGCTGAGTTACACGATTTGGCAAGACAGTAAAGCTTCAGTTTTGTTTCATTGGCCCTTTTGAGGTGATTGAGAATATCAGTAGAGTTTCATACGGTTTGACACTTCCTCCAGGGTTTGCAGGAGTACACAATGCCTTTCACGTATCTCAACTTCGACGTTATGTGCTTGATAACTCATATTATCTGGTATGAGTCATTGGTGATTTGAGGAAACCTGATTTTGAAGAAATACCAGATTGCATTTTGGGACGTGAAGTTCTACAACTTTGTTTATCAGAGCGCTTTGGAAGAACCAATCAGAGCGAGAAGAAACTTGGTAGTTTGAGGAAGAGATGATCGTGAATTACTCGTAGCTGTTCCAAAATTAATATATGAATTTGGGGACCAAATTTTTTTAAGCGGGATAGTATGTAAGAACTAATTTCTTTTTTCTTTTCTCCTTCTCACGCTCAATTTTTTGCTCTTATTACCGAACCGAATTTCAGATGGTTCCGATCTCTTTCCTTTTATTGCAATATTCTTGTCATTGCTATCCCAATTTGTTATGTTGCATGACCTCCCTGTTCTATAAAAGCAGAACGTGGGCTAGGGAATCACACGTCTCCTCGTTGAACTTCCTCCTTCAACCACTAAACCCCTCTGATCTTCCTCCTCTCACGCTTTCGCTCAAAATAATCACCTTTCTGATCGAACGCTCGCAATACAAGTCACGCTTAGAGCTAACCGGGAAGGCAACGATGGGATCGTAACGTACGAAGACCACCAAAATCACTATCTTTCACCCCCTTTTTGTCGTCCTTGCACCAAAGACAACAGCTTTAGAGCCGTCTTTTTTGTGGAGTCTCCTTCTTCGTTAACCTTAGCCAAGGCATAGGGTAAGCTTTTCAGTCCTTATTGCTTCTACTCATTCTTCAATAATAACTAGTGAATACTAAATCAAATAAATTTATTATAATAACTACTTGGCTATTTTCTTAGATTAAAATAAGCTGATTTCAAATCGATCCATATTAACTCTTGTAATAATAATAATATTATTATTATTAATAAATGCTAGTGAAGTTGCACCTAACTTAAGAAATAATTAATATTAATAATTGCTTGATTGCTAATAATTGTGAAATTTGACTTTTATAGGAATTGATAGTCAGCATTTGTTGAACCACTAAAATATTTGGAGCTTTATTCCACCTCAAGGTAAATAATTGCTTTTATTATGGGATAAACATACCATTCCTAGTTAGGGGTATTATTCTTGTTGTTCGTACTTGATTCATAGTTATTTTATAAGATTGTCATTCATGCTCTTGCAACTTCGTTTATAATTATTATGTTGCACTCTTTATAGGCTTCAATTATTGCTCATGATAAAATTGCTATCCACTTTACTCTATTGTTGCAAAACTTTCACACATGTGAATAAGGGTTTATTTGGGACAGCTTTCTGCTTACTTTGCTTTTGAGATCGCCACAACAGTTCTGTTTGGGGAACTTCTTTCTTGATATTTTTTACAAATTTTTATGGTAGAAAGCTGTTTTTTCAACCTAAGCTTTTAAAGTGTGGTGGTCATCAGAAAGCGCGGCGATCTGACTTTTTAAAAATAAAATAAATTTGTAATAGCCACATAAACTTTTGCAAATCTTCAAACAGCTACAACTACCCCAAACAGACCCTATCTCTTGCAATTATAATATTTTTTTCTACATTCTTCTTTACAAAATGACATGTAAATTCATATAACAATCCTGTGTAAAGTAGTATATTTCTTACATATTATAATTGTGAAAAATTTGATATGTTTGTGTGATGATATGTAGGTCGATGAAACCCTTTTGGATATTGGCTAGTCGGGATGACAGACCCATATAGTGATGACTCTACAGGAAATAAACAAATTTTCTTGGGTTGATATTGACCTTTTCGGTTTCACGGTGTGTTAAATCAATTATATAAATATAAATAAAAACTGGATAATAAAAGATTGGATCGAATTTGAAATGAATGCATGTTTTCTTAAGATAATTGAATGTATTTTATTTACCACTCTCTTTGTTGTCTTATGATGTTATGTATGCACGTAGAAATCGTCACTATTTATTGTTCATACTTCATGACCCATTTTTTCTTGCCCATTATGCTTTAATAAATAACTGTTACTTACTAAATTTGTTCATCAAGCTCTTTCATTAATATTTTTGAGTAACATGTTCTATTCAGTCAGTAACAAATCTATCTCCACTGGAATAGATTTTTTAGCTTTAGATTTCCTGTTATTGGTATTTTTTAGTATTTGCTTTAAGTGTTGCATTTTTCATTTTAGGACGGGATAGTCATTCTCTATTGTTATTTTAATTTTGATTCAATTAGTTTTATGCTTTTCTTTTAGTTGTATGAGTGGACTATTATTAATTAGGAATAAAATTTATATTTATTTTTTTATTCTTATTATTATTTTCATACAATGTTTCATTTGAAATTACAAAATAGGTTTAACTCATTGCATCATGCATTGCGTTGTCGGGGTGTACCGTTTTTTCAGACCCAACTTATGACAATCTTCAGGTTTTTTTTTGCTTTTATATTAGAGTGAAGTGAGCTGTCCGTTAGGAAATAGCACAACTCAAATGACTCCAACAGAACAAACAACTTAAAAGGAGATGGGCTGAGCTTGCGCAATCAAGCCAAACATTTGAATTGGGTTGGTGTAATCCAGATTAATTGTTTAGCTTAGTTTTATCGAAAATTTGTCTTAATCATGTAATTATGTTTGAATTAGTAAAAAGGAGCATTTACTTACATAGCACATAATTCTATCTATTTACATATCTCCCACCTAAACTTTCATATTTATACACATAGCGCTCAAATCTTTAAAATCAGGCAATATAGTTATGTTCCACTTTTTAAAAGTGAAATACACATTTCATGCATAGGTTTAAAGCATCAAAGTGATATGTATGTAAACACGAGGTGTGAGATATGTAAATGCATAAAAATTGTGGGCAACATATGTATATTCCCCTAAAAAAGGTAATTTGGGGCATAAATCGATGGGACCTCAGATCATGCTTGGATTCTTCTGATTTAAGCCTTACTTGGCCAAGTTCAAACGTGGGTTGAAAGACTCAGGTTTCACCAGTCTTTCACCCCATTTGCAATTTGCAGTTGCAGAATAAGGGAGTGTCCAATATCCCGCCACTTTTTGGATCCATATTATTTTTCCCACTTATTGAATCAAATAGACCTATTTAGTATTTTAGTTTGATGTGTAGGCTGTCTTACTTTTTCTCTTTTTTGATCAAACTCATCCTTATCTTTTCTATATTTTGCTTGACAGTGCAAGTAAATCTTTTTCTCTGCAATATTTTTCCTAGCTTGTTTTTTTTGTCATGTTTATGCTTGCCATATTGGTTTGATATTCTGCATTACTGTCCGTTATTTTATCAATTAAATTTCTGAATGTTTTGGTCATCTGATGAGAAATTGATGCTTGTTCAGGATTCTTAATGCATTCTCCAAAGCAAATCCTAAATCTAATGTCCCTGCAAACAAGAGGTAACTTACGATCACCATGGTTAATTGCAAATTTTTCTTGTTCTACTGTTATGAGCTTTTTCTTATTTTCAACCCTTCAGTCTGAGTGCTGTTGTTTTCAGTCCCCCTTCACTACTCAATAGTGGTTGCACTAAAACCCATAATGGTATCTTTAGGAATTAGAAGTAGTTTTTATTTTTATTGCTAATTTTCAATTAGATTTTGCTTTAGCGTATTTGTAGGAGTTATAATAGAAAATAATTTATTTCTGTGAGAAATTATGAGGAATAAATTATTTCCTTAGACTAAGGAGTTATTTCCTTTCCTATTTTATATTCATTACCTTAGGTTATATGTTATTTTCTTTTTTATTTTAGGCTTTTCTAATTTTTCTTATTTCTTTTATCTTCAAATAATTAATATGATTTGATTATTGAAGATATTAGGTGATATATCTTTGCTTTTCATGTTATTTCTTTTTATTTTCTTTTCTATTCTACGATTCATGTAAGGATTATTTATACAAACTTTCATATCAATGAAATTATTCTTAATTATGCTTTATTCCGCATTATTTTGAATTTTAGTATGATATCATAGCCAAATTCCCTACCCTAGCTGCTGATCCTCCTTCTAGAACCGCCGGACTCCCTTCCTGCCATCCTCCGTGCGGGAAAAGAGACATTTGTCTTGGTATTTTGAAACAACAATTTTTTCTTCTTCTTTTTCGGCAGCCACCGGGCTCCTCTACAACAACCACCTACTTTACCTGCAGGGCTCCTACAGTTATTCCTAGCAACTGTCCCCTCTGTGCTTGCAGGGGAAACATCCTCCGCTGGTTTTCAACACAGCCTTTCTCGACCTCTCTACTCTTTCTCCTAGCTCAAGTGTGTGGGTTCATATTCCATATAGGATTTTGGGATCAGGAAACTAATCGAGGTCTAGGGATTCAGAGTTCCGTCTCGATCAAGTAGGCCCGGGATTACAATGAATCTTTTGAATGTGAAAGCCTACGCTTTGGCAGAGCAGTTACAACTATGCTTTGGAGTTCGTACAGAGTGTAGGATCTTGGAGATTTTGTAGAACTGTGCTTGAAAGGCGGATTGGAGAGTGTTGCAAGGGTTGTGTAGAGGTTCATCTATGGGCATGTTTCACATTGATTGTCCAACTTTCCGTTTTTTTTTCTTCTGTTGATCGATACTTCCTTATCCCAATTATCCTCAACGCATGACAATTGTTTTCGGTTAGCACGACATTCCTTACAAGAAAGATGGACAGAGCTGTCCTTATAGTCATAGTTGCTATTATAGGCAACTTGTTGCAGAGCTGGGACAATGCCACAATTACTGGAGCTGTTATCTATATTAAAAGGGAATATAAGCTGCAAGCACAACCTACTATTGAAGGATTAATCGTCGCCATGTCACTTATCAGGGCTACTATCATTACTACATTCTCTGGACCTGTTTCAGATTGATATGGGAGGCGTCCTATGCTGATTTTCTCATCAATCCTTTATTTTGTTAGTGGAATGGTGATGCTTTGGTCTCCAAATGTTTACACTCTCCTTCTGGCGAGGCTCATCGATGGCTTTGGAGTTGATTTGGTTGTCACGCTCATTTCCGTCTATATTTCTGAGATTTCTGCACTGGAGATAGAAGGGCAGCTAAGCACACTTATAGTGGAAATCTCGATTCTTTTTTGGCTTCCGCCAAAGATGGAAAAGGGGAACTATTTTCCAGTTGTCTTCCCTCCATAAGAGGAGCATTTTAGGCAAATTATTTAATTTACTAATCACGTTTATCTCCTACCTTCCTTACTCCCGAATCCAAATCTACCGCCATCCCAGTATTTCACAATTAAGGTTGCATTAATGGGCTGAAATAAGGCATGATTTAATACTTCTTTTGGATTCGCGCCTTCCTACCAAGGATCCCGCCATCATGATTTTTTGAATCGGTGAAGCCTTACCTTAAATGGGCAGAAGAGGAGATGGTTTAGTGCTTCTTCAGCTGAAATTAAAAGGTAAATCTGAATCACAAGTTGCCTGTTCCTTTGGTGTCTTCGGCATGAAGCTTACATCAAGGAAAAATCAAGTGCTGCTTACCTATTTTGGGCTTTGCCTTATTGGGCCTAATAAGGAAAGGATTAATATTCAATTGCTGCTACAGAAGGAATGGGATGGTGGTGAGCTCCCCGTAATTAATTGGATAATTGCTTACAGGTTGCAATATATAGAGCCAGGCGCAAGGCTTCTCCTTAGGATTTCATGGTTTTCTTCTTCTTGGGTGTGGATCTCTGGTAGAGAGATAAGAAAGGAGATGGGAAAGAGAGAGAAAATGAGAGAGCTTTTTTTGTAATCGATGAGTGTAATTCTCAAAGCTAATAAAATTCTTTGCAACTCCGTGGACGTAGGCAATTCGCCGAACCACTTATATCCGTGTTTCCGCTGTCTATTCCGGTTTGTGATTTTTTCTCGATCCGGTTTTTTTGCTTTATTGCCATTGTTTTTCACAACATATTAAACAAGTGACGAAAAATGTACTGGGAGAATCAAAAAGGAAAAGTTTCTATAAATAAAAATATTTGGTGGTGCAATAATATTGAAAGAAAAGATAAAATATAAGAAGTTGGGTTATAAAAATTTGTTTAAATGTAAAAGCTTGGAGAACTGGGAAAAAACATAATGTGGTATGTAGGGAGTTTAAGAGAACAATTTGTGATGCTGATAATTCTCTTTTTAGTGATATTTATAATATATTAGATAGAAAGGGGTGAAAACTATATGTATAAACTAGCCAAATAAAGAGAAAAGAAAAGTAAGGATTTAACTCAAGTGTATTAAAGATTAAAATCAAAAAGTGTTTTTCTTAGAGGAAGATGTTCAACTTAGGTTTTTAATGAAGTTTTTGAAGATACGATCGATCTTAGTGATCTTAATATTGTTAATAATAATAAAATATTTTATTTATACCGTCGCATTAGTAAGAAGTTGAGAAGACTTCAAAGAAATCAATGTTGAAAAATCAGTAGCATATGATGATATCTTAATTGAAGTGTGGAAATACATAGGAGATTTAAGAGTTTCTTGGCTTATTAAACTCTTTAATATTATTTTAAAAACTAAAAAAAGCTTGGGGAGTGGAGGAAGAGTATTTTGATCCCCATTTTTAAAAATAAAGGGGATGCACAAGAGTGTCAATTATAGAGGAATTAAGTTGATGTGTCATACTTTAAAATTATGATAGAGGGTAATTGAACATATGTTAAGATTTGTTACAAAGATTTCTCATAATCAGTTTTGATTTATGCCGGGCAGATTTACTATGGAAATTTTACATTTATTGAGAGCTTTGATGGAAAAGTATAAAGCGAATAAGGAGTATCTATATATGTTTTTTATTGATTTAGAAAAAGCTTACGATAAGGTTCCAAGAGAAGATAAGGTTCCAAGAGAATCCAAGAGAAATCTTTTGGAGAGTTCTAGAGAAGAAATGTGTTGATATGACTTATATTCAAGCTATTAAAGATATGTAAACTGGAGCAATTACTTGTGTTTGAACAGAAAGAGGATTAACCAATTATTTTCCTATTTCAGTTGGATTACATCGTGGATTGACTTTAAGCCCTTATCTTTTTTCTTTAGTTATGGATGCTCTTACTGGACATTTATAGGAGCTGGAGGATGCTCTTACTGGACATTTATAGGAGGATGTACCTTAGTGTATGCTTTTCACTATTGGTATCGTTCTTGTAGATAAGAATAGATAAAGAGTTCATGAAAAAACTTGAATTATGGAGGTCCACATTAGAGTATGAAGGCATTCGTTTGAGTAGATCTAAAACTGAATACATAAAATGTAATTTTAGTAGTAGTAGTTCTAGTGGCAGAGTTGTATGGGTGATCAAATCATTAAAATGTGTGAACATTTTATATATCTCGATTCTATTGTTCAAAGTAATGGTGATATAGATGGGGATGTTATTAGTAGAACTCCTGTTGGTTGGTTGAAGTGGAGGAATGCATCGGGCCTATTGTGTGATAGAAAAGTACCGCTTAGATTGAAAGGAAAAGTTTATAAAATGATGGTGAAACCTGCAATGCTCTATGGCGCAAAATGTTTCCCTTTAAAAGAGAAGCATAAAATAAAGTTAAGTGTTGTTGAGATGAGAATGCTTAGGCGGATGAGCGGCTTGACAGTTAGAGACAATGCAATCCGTGATAGGGTTGGTGTAGCTCCAGGGGCGGACAAGATTAGAAAAAGTCTTCTTAGATGGTTTGGTCACATTAAACGTCGACCATCTGATGTTTCGGTTAGTAGATCAGATGTTTTAGATTCAACTTATGTTAAGACTAAAAAGACTTGGGCATATTGTATAAAAAATGATCTTAATTTATTAGAATTAAATGAAAATATGACACTCAATAAGACACAATGGAGAAAAGGGATTATGTAGCCGACCCAACTTAGTGGGATGAAAGTTTGTTGTTGTTGTTTCTTGCTAATTTCAAATTAAATATGTTGAGAATGTATTTCACTTTATGACAATCTTCAAATTGGTCATTCTAATTAAGACATTATCATTATACTGTTGAGGCCATGATCACTATCTCGATCATGGTCATGTTCATTATCAACATTATCAACATTATCCTTATCATTTACCGAATTATAATTTTGAAATTGCTTGGACGTAATCAAACTAAATGTAGAAGCTTTTAAGGTAAAAACTCAACCTGTGTAAAAGACTTGGAAACAAATGCAAAATGTTTATGAAAAAGTGTTTGCTTTATTAATGTTGTATTATTATGTTCATCGTTACAATTGCGACTCATTTTTCTTGTAATTATGATCTATTATTGATTACAAATCTTTTCTTTCGCTTTGAACCGAGTTCCATTAATATAACACAATGTAGGTAAATATAATAGAGTTGTATGGATTTCAACATCCGAGGTAGCCATAAGGTTCAATACATGCAATGTTTCAAATCTGTGAATTTCTTATAGAGAACACCAATAAATTTGTTGTTGGATTTATGGAAACTACAAAAGGGAGAAACCTATGGAACTGGGAAGTTGTATTTTTTTTTCCTTGTCAGGGTACAGCATATATCCCCTTATGCGGGTACATAAAATTGAAAAAAAAAAGATTATTTATATTTTTGTTGAGATAACTTTTATTGTTGCATTAGAAGGCTTTTACTTTTTATTTGAGGCTTTTGTGAATATATGGATAAATTTTTATATAGAAAATGAAGAAAAACCTAATAAGATCTCAAGCTTTATGAACAAAATATTTATGGTGAAGTTCTACTATTTTATTTATTTATGTATCAGATGGGAAAAAAGTTTAGCTTTCACCTAAATTTATAATGATATTTTTTCAAAGAAAAAAGAAAGAAAAAAAGAAAAAAAAAGAAAAATATAGTGTATTTTATATTGATTTGAGAGCTGACACTAGTGATACTGAGGAGATAAAGGACCAGGGACGAAAGTAGAATGTCCACCCCTACTTGTGCTCAACTGACTCAAGTTCCACGTGAACTAATTACACTCAACTTATTGTATTGTCCCAATATATTAAAATGAAAATAACAAAACCCTCTTTTACATGTAAATGACTACAGTCTACAATCTACTTCTCTCCAAGAGAAAGAAAACCAGTTAGTGAACCGAAAGTAAAGGACATGCATAAATCACCAATGCAGATGGAACCCTTTGTCAACTTGTATGCATCCTTGAGGGTATGCATTTTGCATTAACAAAACAAAAATATTACAAAAATATGCATTTATGCATGTATAGACATTTGATCTGTGGTAATTGATCATGACTTGTCAAAGAGGCTTATCAGTTGATCATCAAAACAATTCACATTTTGTGTAAGTCTCATTAATTTTGGCGGCGGAGTAATGACATTTGATGAAATATGGGCATGGGTTCCTCTGCAATTTGGCAGAGGCTGCATTTCTCATAATTTTGTATGTTGTGTTTCACAATTTTATATTTTATTGACAGTGCAATTCCAAGTCAGCTTATTCCAATCATGGATCTGGACATTTAAGACACTCACTAGGCACAATACATTTTATGGGATCGGGGTTGAGGTTAGGGTTGATGAAGGTGCCATTGAGAATTCTGTAGGAAAAACATGAATCTTAGCGTTCTCATTACATTCAAAATCATATCAAGTTTGAGGCTATGGTTTTCTATTTCTTTTGGTTTATAGATATTAATCTAGGATTTGAAATTATGTTTCCTTCCAATAGTATTATTGATGAATAAGTGCAGCAATTTCAGTTTTTTGATGGTTTAGATAAGAAAATTGAAGCTCTGAATTCTGTTGGATTTTTAAGAAAAAGGTTGGTCTCACAAGTTGAACATGGCCAACTTTGGATAATATTAACCTCTTCCATCAAAAGAGATCAAAAAAGTATTCTTGTCTTGTTGAGTAGCAGAATTATTAGTTCAAACCGACCCCACCATCTATTGAACTAATTTAAATTAGATTCGTCAGACATATTATGCTAAGCTAGAATAGATACACTATATGAATAAGTGCGAATTGATATTTAATTAGTTACATTTAAAAAGCATTATTGTTATGACTGAACTGGTAATTTGTGTCAGATAAGTTGGAGATATTTTATTGTTATTTTATTTGATTAAGTTGTAAGGTATCCAATCTGAAACTTTGAAGATATTTATTTTATTTAAAAATATGTCAAACTTCATTAAAAAAAAAATTATCTTGTACTGTTTAGTATTAGAAGGAAAACTTCACTAAATTAGACACATCTTTGTTCTGTGATATATGTGTATATATGATAAATATTTTTTTCTCCTAGGAGGAGAATAATCATTGTTTTCCAATTTTTACTCTTGACATCTACAGCCATACATGGTTTTCTCCATTGATTGTGATATACAACATAGAAAATTACTTTGAATTGAGTTTCATCAATTTTCATAATATTTAAAATAAATTATCAATCATGTGGTAAGAATGCGGACAACTATCGGATGAAAAACAGAAGGTATTTTAAAGTCAAGTTTTACCCTTTGTATTTCACCAATCAATTGCATTACACACACACACACAAACTAAATATCATTGGGAACCCATGTATTTAATTTTGATTCATTTGAAAGTCTCTATATTTTGAGAAGTTAATGGTCTCATTCTATAGTAGTCATCAATAAAAAAAATTATATTGTTTTGGCATGTCTAGTTGATGATCATATGAACTTAAAGTTATTGAAATTATATCACTTGCTTTAATGAAGTTCAAGATATGTTCGAATTTGATTAAGGGTGGGCATCTAGTTTGGAGATTGAGCAAGCTGGTCTCAACTTGAAATAAAAAATTTTGATTTTGGCACAAGTTTAAGTCGACTGGCATGAGCCAAAAATAATTGATTTCAAGATTATTTTTTATCTCTTTCTAGCCAAATCTCTTAATTTTAAAAACTATTATATCTATGGAGAGAGAGAGAGAGAGAGAGAGGGAGTGCTGAGTATAATTCAATGGCAGGAGTGCTGGATGAGAGAAGCATTAAGGCATTAAAGAAAGGAGTTCTGATTGCTGTATTTTAGAAATATCATGTTGAATGAATGAGATCACTGTTGAACACACCGAAAGAGATTTTATTTTCTTTCTGCCTTCAATTATTAATATGCCTTTCAAACATTTCTTTTAAACTGCACTAAGTTAGCCGATTCCTGTATTATTTTCCGTCATCTCTTTTGGTTTCTAATGCTGCTATCCAGTAAAAATCATGTATTGATACTGCTGTTGCTTCTACAACAGTGAGTATGAGGAGTTGGAAGCTACGCCCAGTTTGTCTGTCATTGAGGGTCCGTTGGAGCCACAAAATTCATCTTCTGCAGTTCCTGATGTTCCAGAGGAGTCATTTGTGAACTTTTTTAGCGTATGTATTTGGTTCTCATAACCATTTGAAAACTGGCTTGCTTACTTGTTTCTTGGCCTCATCTTGAAAGTTTTGAGGGGCATTTACATACATTCCACAGAATTCTTATATAATTAAATATGCATATACATCACCTAAATATTCATATTTAATCGAACATCACTTAGATCTTTAACATCACATTAAAAATACCACATTCACTATCTTCTTAAAAGTGAAATATATCTTTTCATGCATAAATTTATGATACAACGTTGTTATAAGTGTAAATATCAAGCTTTGAGTATTAGATATGTAAATACATAAGAATTGTGTGGTATGCATGTGAATTTCCCAAGTTTTTATTATTTTTTTATTGATTCAGTTTTCATCCCACAATCATCATTCTCGGCATGCAATTTCTATATTTTCATTTCCCCTTTGCCGTATTATTACTTTCTAAATTTCTGGGATTAGTGCTTTCTAACATGAAGCACATTAGTTCCATATTAAGTTTCTCTCCTGGCGAGACCAATGAATTATCACAGTTGTTTTTTGTGTTCTGCCGATATATATATATAGCTTAAATAAATACCACCCAAATCCTATTTATTTACATATCTAAAGACCTGAACTCCTTCACATTTATACCACCCAAGTTTTGACATCACATTAAAACTATCATCATTTTAACTTTTTAAAAGTGAAATACATCTTACCATGCACAGGAAAGGTGGCATACATGTAAAAATTAAACTTTAGGTTATAGATATGTAAATACATAGAGGACGTATGTGTCATGTATGTTAATCGTCTATTTATTTTATGTTTTGCAGACAGCCATGAGCATTGGAAATTCATCCAATACAACCATAACTGGACCTCTGCATCCGTCTTCTACTCCAACTCCCTTGTCTTCTTACACACCTAGTGCTCCACTTCCTCCATTGTCAACCATTCAAACTACACCTTCTCTGCCATCGTCATCTTCTACCCTAATGTCAGTACTAGATACAATTGAAGCTAATGGCGGAAATAACCTCGTCACTAGTCTTGTAAAGCCATCTTTATTTGCACCATCACACTCATCTTCTACATTACTGATGCCACCAATTTCATCTACTGTGCCTGCTCCTCCCCCTCTTCATCCTCCTGTCACCATGCAGCGTCCATATGGAACTCCATTGCTGCAGCCCTTTCCACCACCCAATCCTCCTCCTTCCCTCACTCCCACACAATCCTATGGTCCAGTCATCACTAGGGACAAGGTCCGTGACGCTTTACTGAGGCTTGTACAGGTATATTTTATGCCATTTCATTAATATTCTGCTTTATTTTATTTTAAGCACTGTTCTTAGATTGTTTTTCAATTTTAGAAGAATTTCGATCTGTAGTTGCTGTTTCTTCCTCCAAAATTTGGATTGAATGGAAGTGTTGTAAAAGTTTTGAGTGAATTTAAAAGTAGTCTTTAAGTAATTGAGAAATATTAACCTTGGAGGACTTGCTTTAACCATTGGGAAAGAAGCAAAAATATTAAAGAAACTGCAACGGATCTGGTATTTTTTTTTTGGGCCACTTAAATCTTCTATATTTACATATGTAACAACTATTGTTTAATTTTTACATTTATACTACCCAAATCTTTCTTATTACATCAAAAGTACCACTATTTTAACTTTTAAAATGTGAAATACATCTTTTCATGCATTGGTAAGGTGGCATACATTTAAAAATTGAGGGCTAGAAGCTAGATTTGTAAATACATAAGAGTTGAGTGGTATGTATGTAAATCTTCCTTTTTTATACCTTTTGAAAGAAAAATGTGATAGTGATAGCTCAGATGGTAATGAACTGTGTGGTTGATTGCTTGGGAGATTTGAATTTATCAATCTGTTTCATTCCCTTTTTGTTTTAATTTGTGTAAGCAGATTGAGAATTTGTTTTTTGACTGAAATAAAATTTTCCTGGTCCATCAAATGTTTTAATTTGTAAATTAATGGATTTGCTTCTGCATTATTATAATTAGATCAATGCCACCATAAAACCCAATTTGGGACCTGCACAATCCATTTCTTAAAAATTTGACTTGCTTTTTCCTGTTGAATGATATATGGTTAAAACCGAAATATCTTGGAGAAGCTTGAATTTTTTTTCCCCCCCCTCTGTACATGCAAGTCACTCAATTCCTATGTATTTACATATCCAACGCCTAAACTTAACATTTTTTACATACATACCACCTTACCTATGCATGAAGAGTTGTATTTCATTTAAAAATTGTGGTATTTTTGATGCAGTGCGAAAATTTTTGGTGATATAAATGTGGAAAGTAAAGTTAGGTGTTAGAAATGTAAATACATAGAAATCACTCCCAAGAGAAATCACTGCATATTTTAATTCTCCGAACAATTGGAAGCCAGAAAACAAAAATTTTGCTCTTTCCAGTAAGATTAGGCTTTTATTTATTTATTTTTTAATTGCCCTAATGTATGCATTTTTAGGGGCATTTACATACCACACAATTCTTATGTATTTTCATATCTAATACCGAAACATTCATATCTACACGCATATCACTCAAATCCTTAACATCATATACAAAACACTACCACCACCACCATCTTTTTAAGAGTGAAATACATCTTTTCATGCATTGGTATACGACACCAAGGTATTATGGGTGTAAATATCAAACTTTTTGTTTTAGATACGTAAATACATAAGAATTGCGTGGTATGTACGTAAATTTCCCTTTTTTTTGTGCCAAATACAAAACTATATATCTATATTTTGCTGACGCAGAACAATCAGTTCATCGACTTGGTGTACCGGGAGATGCTCAATTCTCATCATCCATAGCAGAGCTGAAGCATACATATATATTTAAATGGTTGCAGAACTCTGCCCTGGACTGTGATTTTGTGCTTGTAAGTGGACCTCTTTGTATAGATTCCGACATTTTAAGGCCTTCAGTCTTCTGATACTGTTTGTTTAGGGCAAATTTTTTCTTGTGGAGATGTTTATTGTAGGTTATTTGGATGATAAATTTGTTTTTTTAATTCTGCATTCTGCATGCATGCTTCTCTCCATATATTATTGTCCTGAAAACAAACCTGGAAGCAGTATATGAATGAAAAGGTGAATTCACTTAAAAAAAAGTCAGCATTAGTTGTATTTTTGATGTGTTGTTAGATATTTAGGGGCTATAAATGTAAATAATGTAAATAACAAAATTTAGATGTTAGATATGTAAATATGATTGATAGGTGGGTATGTTATGTAAATCTCACCCATCATTATTTCATTTTTTGATCTTTTGCTTTAATTGAGGCAGACTGCTGTTGTCCTCCCAATTTTCGTCATAATGATTTTAAAAGTTAGCTTGTCATAATTTTTGATAGATTTTTGTTAGCTGTGTAAATTAATTTTTTATTATTCTCCATACATATCACAAAAAAAATATTTATTATTATTATTTGTTTAATTATTTGTAATTTTTGATATATTTTTGATCATTTTATTAATATTGATTTTAGAAACTTCATTCTACATATGGATTCAAAGTATTGCTAAGAACATATTGAGGACAAAAAATATTACATCAGGACTCCTAACGTAGAGCTACATTCAGAGTCCACTGATATGCTGACACGTGGAGGTGACAGAAAAAAAAAAAAATTGTTTTAGCATTGAGAAATATTTCTCCCGTATTATTTCGCATTATTTATGTGTTATTGTGGTGGTATTCACGTGTTATTGTATTATGAGAATATTTCCGGTGTTATAATAACACAATAACACATCAATATCACCATAATAACACTTGAATAAAACAAGAGTAATATTTTTTTGTGTTATCGAGTCGGATCGTAGGAAAATGCACGTGTTTTCTTGAAGCCATATGTCTGCATATCAGTGGAGTTCGAACGTAGCTCTACTTTAGGAGTCCTGATAATGTAATATTTTTCCATTGAGGACGTGACACATTAGGGATGATTTAACTCTTGATTTTGATGTTCCATAAAAAAATATTTGCAGCCACTTTGGCAGCAACCATGCTTCTTTTGCATGATGATGAATTTTAGGTTTTTGAAAATAAGCTTAAGTAGTAAAATATAATTTCATTTTTGTCTTTCCATCGGGTTGACTTAATATTAGCCTCACAAACTGACTGCACGCCAAAAGATGACAAATTTCATAGTTTATTAGAGTTTTAACAAACTAAAGTTGTCATATCTTAAGCTCATTATATTATTGTTGAACCAAGCTTTATCTATTCTTCGAAAAATTAATATATCTACTTTTCGTTTTGAGAAAAATAATCCACTCGAGAAATAAAGATGGTGTTGGCCTTTTGCCTTCAGTGAAGAGAAATCTTCCAACTAGACCGGACGGTCTGGTCTTTGTTCTTTCGTGTTTGACTCGTTAATAAGCTCGTGTTTGATTTGTTCGGTAAATTCATGAGTCGAATACAAATAATTTTTTTTGCGCTCGATATATGAATAAGCCGAACTCGTATAAAAATTTGTTTGTTCATTTTTGGGTCAAAACAAATAAATTACATCTATATATATATATATATATATTTATTTATTTAATTAT